GGTGAGATGCAGAGCTTTTGGCAGATGTGGTGGGCTCTGCAAAGCACAGTGCTTGTCCAGGAATAGCAGGGATGAAGTGGACACAGAGAAAGAGGAGATGGTTTTCCATAACATGGTCTGAAACCGCAGGTGTGGTCAGAGTTGTGGAGAGCACAAGCTAGGGACCAGTTGCAGGGCATAGATCTGGGAGAATGGAATTATATTCCCAGACCATCCATGCTCTGTGCTGGACAAATCAGCTCTTTGAGGTAGCTGAGTTGTCTGGGACTGTGTGGAATTTTTTTAGCTGCTTTTCAGAAAGCGTCCTTAGAGCTTCCCGGGGAAGGATTGCAGGAGGTGGCAGAGCATGAAGGGGTAACCTGGCTATGTCTGGCTTGTTTGGTTTTTGGTTGTTTTTTTTTTTTTTTACAGTGAGGGCAAAGTGAATTTCTTTTGAGGAGAATAGGTTCAGAAATGTTAAAAATCCAGACGTTAAAAATTAAAGTCTTAAGCTGCTCGGGTGGACGTAGAGCTATAAAATGGCGGCACCACAGGAGCTGAGGCGGTGCCAGTATCCAACCCTGAGGCCTCTGTTTCTCACAGCACCAATTTTTGAGCAATTTTGAGGTGTCCTTCATGGGTGGGTGTTCACACTTCAGGTTAAGAAAGCTGTTTGTACCTTTACTCCAGAAAAACAATGTCTATGCTCGTGGGGAAGAGCAGAGGCACCCAAAGCTTTTGCCAAGGCCTTTTAAGTGGCCTGCAAATATTTCACCCTCTTTCCCCTCATCCAAGAGGCACAGTTTGATTTTCCTGAACAAACTGAAATAGCCTTTCCTAAAGGAAATCTCCATGTCCATACAGAGGGGTGGCACAGCTTTCAGTCCTGCTGCTCTAAATGGTGTAAGTTTGTGTGCGGACAAGGCCCAGGAGAGTTATGGTAGAGCTATTAGTAGGGGAAGTGATTTTTTCTTAGACTGATTAAAATTCTTTGGGCTTTCTGTTTGTTTGTTTTTAAACACCTATTTAGCTTTTAATTAACATTTAAGAGAAGGGAAGCTGGTTAAATATTCAATACCTCCTCCCTTTCAATTAAGGTAGAACAGTACACAACGCGTGATGAGGCCTCTGGGAAGTATGGAAAAATGGAGAAGAGCAGGCTCCTGATTATAATTTTCAGGGGGACAGGAAAGGTGAAACCCATCTGATTATTACTGCTGTTAACAATAATAATGTTGAGATTTATTTTTTTTTAACATCAGAAAGCAGTTTAGAAATGCAATTATTCTTTAAAACCGTATATCCTGTCTTTGGCCTTTAAATACCTCCATTTTTCCACTCCCATTCTTTACTTATTTCAGGTGCAAGCATGGAGGGTTTTCTAACAGGCCTTTTTCAGTCGCTTAGTAGGGAGGCTGCAGATGCTGGGGAAGTTGTTCTTCATGCTACATGCCCTTATCTTCATTTTGATGCAGTTCTTTCTGTGCCAGCGAGTCAGCAGCTTCAAACCCTGCAGCCCTGGGAGCTCAACCAAGCAAGGGATTATTGTCACCATACTCCAGTCTCGTCCCCTTTCCCTTCCTTCTCCTTGAAAAATTCAGTTGCGTTCTGTCTGCGAGCTGGTTGTCCCTCAAAATTGCATATAAAGCACACAGAAAAGGGTACCTCAATGGAAAAAAATGGGTTTGGAATATGCTAGTATTTGCAATTCAGCAAATTCACCCTTCCTAAACTTAAATTTCTCCCTTTTGATTTAGTGTACCCTAATTTATCTGACAAAATATTTTGTTTTGATGGCCATCCAGTTTAAAAAAGGATCATGCTGGCTAAAAGAATCCCTCAACAAACCCATTTTACATTGTGGAAACCCCTGAAACCACTGCCCAAAAGGTGATATATTTTTAAGCCTGCTATATCTTCTACTGTGGTGAGACAACTCACCTGTGTTTTCACCAAATATCCCACAAAAATGATTTTTTTTGTTTAAATCACCACGTTACATAAATGAGCTTTTAAAATGGAATTGCTGGCACCAGATACCAGTTGTGTAAATGTTTTTTCCTGAATGAGTGGTTGCTTTTTGGCTTTTTTTTAAGGATTGAAGAGAGTGGAGATGCTAAAATGCAGAGCTATTGGATAGGTTTCATATGCTATAACTTCAAGGTTTACTGGATATAGGATTGCATCGATTTTTAAAAACAGAAAAAAATGTTTTGCGAAAAGATTTCTGACTGCATCTATTGCAAGACATTCCAATTCAGCTTTAAAATTAGCCTATTGTGATGACACAATAATTTTTAAAGTAACTGTTGTATGATGTCCAATGACCTATTCAGTGCTATGGATTTTTATTTTGAAAAAAAGCAAAACCAAACGAAACATCAAAACCCAAGGTATTTTCTCCATGAATCTCTCTTCTAACTACATAAGCATATATTTATATATATGTCTCTTGTGATTACTTATCAGTCAAGTTAATGATGTGTATTTACTGGCTGGACTAAAACAAGAATTAATCCAATTAGTTCAATAATTGGTTATTTACCAAATATTTTCTTAATTATTGAGAGTCCATTTCTACTTCAGCTGTAAATAACAGAAATTCTCCCATCAATTTCAGCTTAAGTAGTATTTTATTATTTTTAGAAAAGTTTTTCATACTTTTATAGAAGCTATTCATAGAAATCACAGGATAAAATTTGCAATTGCAGAGGATAGTGAAAGTAACACCTTTTGTCAGAAGGTTCAGCTCCAAGTCAAACTGTCATTCAGGTGAACTTCACAACTTGTGATTTTTTAATTTTTTTAAAATTTAATTCAATTTGTAGACAAAAAAAAAAAAGGCTGAAGGAAGTAGCATGCATGTGTCTGGAAATAGCAAAATTCTGTTACATGGAAAATTCTGTGCTGTAATATGATTAAAAGTTGATGTGAGCAACCTAAGACAATTGAGTCCCTCAATTGGCTGACCTGGGAGCTGTATCCTTTATATGCAAATACCACTAATGTCAATTTTATCTCAGCTGGATGTAAATTATATCCAGTTGCAGCACACCCATGCCATGGAGTACTGGAAGGTGATAAAGCTGGAGAGCTGATGAAGGCAAAAAGGCATTTTTCCTGTGGATTTTGGAACAGGGTCCTGCCCAGATGGAGAGCATGGGCTTCCCGTTGAGAGAAGAGATGAGACTGTAGAGAAAGATCTTCCCTTTTCTCTGCCTGCTCCCAGTTGTTCTCTGATAAGAGTATCTTCAAGAGAGGGGTTAGGGGGAAAAGAGGAATCAGCTCAGCAAGAAGAATATCAAGGAGACATCAGCTATTGCCTGCAAGAGGCCATGAACTAGGGAAAATATGAATTCACAAATATTTATGCTATGCACCCAGAAATTTGTAGATAAACCTCGATCTTACCCTTTCTTTATATTTTTGCCCCTTTTTTTCTTCTCCAGATTCTCTGAAGAGGATGCATAGTAAGGACGGCTCTGACAAAAAGCGCCATCAGTAAATCAATAACTTTTTTTCTTTCTTTTTTTTAAGGAGAACACACACAAGAAACCAATTCACCTCATTCTCTGAAGAAGGATGTGGAAAATATGGGGAAAGGTAAAATAAATAAGGGCCTCTTACATTATAAAACTGCTCTTTGTTTTAATAGAATATGAGGATAATAGGGGGCACTTTTGTTCTGCGCCATATTTTAAGCTTGTCAAGTAACATATGAATAATATATGGACCTTTGGGTGGATATAATTGAGATTAATGCATATATATCAATCAATACATGACACTGTAATATAATACTTTAAAATAATATATTACATTGATTTATATTCATGGCTTTCTGCACAAAATCTATGGTAGGTCTATGCAACACTTTTTTTCTTTTTTTTAATAAGTGCTAAAATATTTTGTCTTAGAGTAATGAATTGCTCTGCAACTGTTCTTTCAAGAATTATTTATACAGATTATCAAAACCACTTTTTCTCTTTGTTAGAGGAACTCCAGAAGGTTCTGTTTGAGCAGATCGACCTGCGGAGGAGGCTGGAACAGGAATTCCAGGTGTTGAAAGGAAACGCGTCTTTCCCAGTCTTCAGTAAGACACAAAATCTGTGGTTTTGGTGTTGTGCGTGTTTGTGGTTGGTTGCTGCCAGGCTGATAAAATGAGACAGGCTCTCAGTTGTGCTGCCAGGATCTCGGGCTTGGTTCTGCTGAGTCCAGGTTGGGCAGGGCTTGGAGCAAGCTGGGATGGTGGAAGGTGTCCCCAGGGTTGGAATGAAGTGATTTTTAAGGCCCCTTTCAACCCCTGCTGTGGCTTTGCAGCTGCCCAAGCAGGTCTTTTGTAGGGAAAACACAAAGCTGGATGTTTGTTCTGGTGTGCATCCTACTAGTTTTGATAGCATTGATTACAGTGAGTGCACAGAAACACATCTGGGTCCTCATGGGGTACGGTGAGGTTGGTGTCTCAGCCAACACCCCTCAGGGGCTTCTGAAGACAAGATACTTAATCCTTGTTTTCAGGAGGTTTCTAGTACTCATTTTCGGGAGGTTCCAGCTGATACTGGAGAATTGATCTGGCCTTTTAAGGAGCAGAAATTCCTGCTTGGATTTTTCCTGTTGGGAAAGGCCATTTGAGATGGCCATTCCACCACGGCTTCTGAGCAGGGTGCTGCTGCCCAGGGCGATGGAATGTGCATGGCACATCTCAAATAAAACAAAATGTGCACTGAGCAGGGTTTTTCTGAAGCTGGCAGAAGGCTGGGCTGATTGTGCAGAGATGTGGAAAAAGACCCCTTGGCTGGGATCTCTCGAACAACACTGGAGCAACGGTGGAAACATTCTTCCAGGAGAAATCCCACCTAGATCAGGATGATCCCACAGAAAAAGAGGGAACACAGACAACATTTTCCTATTGTTCAAAGAAAATATGTTTGTCCCCTTTCTGTAGCATCAGATAGGTATGTTTAGGGAAGCAAGGAAGTATGAGGAATCTGGGAATGACTCCATCTTTGGCCTGAATATTGAAATATGTAGACAGCGCCATAAGTAAAGAAGAGTTACTTGACATGATACAGATATTAATGAAAGGAGCATAACCTCATCCTTCAGAATAAATCCAGTCATTATTTGGGTTTGAGAGTGAGGTAATTTTCACATAATTCGTGGGGATCAAAACGCTGCTGTGTGGTATTGGCGAAATGGCATCTTGGACTTTTGCCATTCAAGTCTCTTATTTATCCTTTTGTTCTTCTACAGTAAAATTAATGCTCTGTCTTTGCCATGTAAATAAACACTGCAATTAAACCACATGAAATACAATTCAAATAAAAGAAAAGAACAAGTACGGCCAACCAAGGAAGTGGTGACTGCTGTATGCTGGCTTGAAAAATATGTGGTTTCAATGTACCATAAAGTAGTGGTCAATTTTCTTCAGGATTAAAATAGAAAACAGATAATGTGCTATAAACCAAACCTACAAGTGACCGTAAGGCCTATTTACAGATTTAGATTTACCAAAAAAACCCACCCCTCCTCCACGTGTAATAAAACAAGAAAAAAAGAAAAAAAATTACTTTTGTAAAGCAAATCTGTGTAAATCCATGTTGAGGGTGTTTTGTCCTCTGTTGCATTGTGTGTTCTAGCATAAGAGAAGGGGCTGTTCTAGGCTCTTGCTGTTGGGCTGTTGCTTTAGGTTGTGTATTAGAATGGTATTGGTGTCTTGGGCAGGGAGAAGCCAGGCAGAGGAGTTTTTGGAGATCCAACTAAAGGAAAGTTGAGGTAAAATTTAAATTGTATTGAAAACTCATCCCTGTTTCAGCTGGGAGGCAGCATGAGAGATATGGAAGCAATGCTGTTCTCTCTGGAAAATGTCAGGTTGCCTGCAGTGAGGTCTGGAGTCACCTCTTTGGCGTCTTCCACCGGGAACTGAGCACATTTGGGGTGCTCTACCTTCACAGCATCAAGCCACTGCTCACAACAGGGCTGTGCAGTAAATGGTGCTTGGTTTCAGAGTTCTCCTCTCATTTAAATCACAGCTAAATGAGAACTGAGCTTATTTGCAAGCTCCCTAAGCAGTGCTATGCTGCAGTCTTCTCTGTGGCCTCTTGAACCTGCTTGAAACACGGACTGTGAAAATTTACAAAACAGCAAGACCTTGTATTTTTCACGTTGCTGTTGGGCTTGAAAGCTGCAGGTGAAATTTTCTTTTGCCTTTAAGATCTCTCAATGCAGAGATCACTCAAATTAAAAAAAAAAAAATTAAAAAGAAATCAGATCACATGTAGAAAGTCAAAGTATTTGCTGTCCTGATAAAGATGCAAGCATCTCTGCATGGTGACAGTGAGCTCTCCTGGAGCCCTGCTCTGGTTTGTGCCCTCCGTGTCGGCTGCTCCGCATTCTGTCCGTCTGCATTTTAAACAATGCGGCAATAAAACGGTGGAGATGCAGCCTGGGTACTTAAAGTATTTAATTTTGTGTTAAGAAAGCTATTTAAATATTCATATCTTTTCTCCTGGGTACTGCTTATGGCTTTGTCTGCCAGCGCTTGGACTCGGATAAATGCCGCCGAAAAAAAACGCTGTCCCTACCATTAACACCCCATTTCCACTGTGAGCTTGGGCATTTGCTGTGCAGGGCTGAGCAAGATCCCTGAGCTGTTTGTTTGGAGAGGTGATGAGCCCGTGAAGAGGCAGCTGGGAGGAAAGCATTGAGGGGAAAAAGGAAAATTTCTCCTTAAAGCCAACTCAGAGTGGAGCTGGAGGACCTCAGTTGCAATTATCATTGCAACTTTAGCGACCAGGACAGGAGGCAGTTACCTTTTCATAATTTTGTGGGGGGCTAGGGAAAGAGGAATTTATTTTTGTTGGCTTATTTTTCTGATCAAGTCGGAGTAGAGGGAATAGGCTTAACAGTTCTGTGGGAATTTATTGGAAATCTGAAGAACTTCACTGAGATAACACCACCATGTCTGTTTCAATGTGGTTGTGCTGCACTCCTGAGGGCTTCAGTTTGCCAAAATTTCCTGCTCTTCTACTGTTTCATTGCTCTTTCCCTGCCTCCTTTTCTTTTAAACAACAATTTCAGTTCATCATTTAGAGGGGACAAAGTTCTTTTTTGAGAAGGGGACAGAGCTCTGCCCCCTTGTTACTTCTTCCAGGACAGGCTCCTTACTTGAATCAAAATGATAGTGGCTCTGATGGGTTTTCTTTCCTCTTCCATTTAACAGCCCATCCTTTCACCCTGACCTCCATCAGGCAGCTCTTGGAGTCCCCTGTTTCTTGTCAACAGTTTTGTTTATATTCCTCTTTTTCCCACCCACCAACAGGAGTGTTAAGGAGCACAAGAGCATCAGTTAGTCTTCTAACAAATGAAGTTTTGTCCGAATTCGTTGTTTAGGAGGAAAATCAGAGAAGGGGAATCTACTGGAGCAGGAAGGCCAGCCTGTGCTGTAACCCAGCTGCCCGGGATCTCTCTTTCAAAGACTTTCTCCCTTCCAAATTCCACGTCACCCTTTATGGAGCTTCAGTTTTGTTCAAAGCCGTCAGCACGATGCTACAAACCACAAATCAAACCCCGCATCCTTGAACGCTTTCTCCTCTCACACGCTGGACATCGCTGCTGGTGTCAACAGATTTATGCCAAAGCAAAGAAGAGCAGTTCCTGCTCTCCTCTTCAGGGCCTGAAAAAGTTTGACTAATGACTGCAGAGCCTTGCCCGTGCAGGAAAATAGCTGGGGATAAATGCTAGCAACACAAAGTTAGCATTCTACATTTTCTGCTGGGGGAAGTAGTGAAATCTAACTTTTCCAGATTTTTTTCTGGTGTCAGTGGTGTCTCCTATTAGACACATATTTATTAGGCGTGTGTTTTAATTGAGTGAAGGAATTTTGTAGTGCTTTGTGATGCCTCAGTAGTGACTGGGCTTGATTTTTAGCTTAGCTGGGTGTCAATACTGCCGTGCGGTCTCTGTTTCAATTATTGCACTTTTTATCCTCTCATACAGACAATTTTCAAGATCAGATGAAGCGGGAGCTGGCGTACAGAGAAGAAATGGTGCAGCAGCTACAAATTGTAAGTTTACTTTCTCTGATAAAGATGTCCTTGGCTGCTGGTTTGTGTTTTTTAAGCTTACACCTCAAATTTTTCCAATGTGAGCCATGCAGATGCATCATTACCAAGCTCCTATTGCCTTACATTTAGCAAGAGGTAAACATGCAGTTCTCAGTTGGTTTGGAGCCTAATTACCTGGAGATTTACTTTCGTACAGTAACCAGATGTGTCTTCAACTAAACTTGTTTCAACTAAGCAAAATGTGTCGACTCGACATGGAGAGGTGCTTCTGCAGAGAGGAGGAGTGAATCAGTAAACTTTGAGCAGTTAAACGTTTCTGCCCAGGGAATCTGCTCAATCCCTGCTTCCCACCAGAAAATAAACCTTAGGATGTGTCTTTTTCTCATTTCAGACACTAGAAGAAGTGCTTAACTCAGCAGTAAAGGATCAAGTTGCCAAAACACAGTTCGGTGCAGGCACACGTTACTGTTGGGTCTCTTGCTTGTTATTTTAAAACCAAGAGGGATTTTGCCTGTGTGCTAGTGCAGCTCTGGATCATCACATTCAGCTGTGTTGTTTTGAAAAGTTGACGTTCTTAATCCTGTGCAAGCAAAGGGGCTGGAGCATGGGAAGCTGTTCCACACTCAAATAAATGAATGCTTAGTGTGGTTTCAAGAGCAGTGCATGGTGAGGCTGTCAGCTAATGCTTGCTGTGCTGGTGCTTTCTCTGTGATCAGTCTGACATTGCTGAATGAGTTTTGTTTTTGGGGCAATCTTGGAAATATCCCCCTTTCTCTGAATCAGCCCCATGCTCCCCCATTGAAATTCTCCTCCTGCTTGTCACGGGGCAGAGAAGGCATTGCCCAGCCTCCTGGTACTGTCATTTTCTAATTGATGGGTTAGGACATAAAAGTAAATTTGAAGGCCAGGATTGTCAGACTGGTGCTGCGATGTTTAGAGGCATTTAGGACTGGCCTTATTTTTAGAGCTGCCGAGCATCCACGCGCCCCGTTCCTGCTGACTGCAGAGATTTCAATGAGACATGGAGGGTGTTTGAAAGAGGCTGTTTGTGGAGGAAACTCGGGTCCAAAATATCTCTGGGTGTTTTTTGCAGCTGGTCTGCACTCTTTTCCTTTAGTGTGCCCATTGTTACTGTGTCCCCCTTTGTGTCCTGACGACAGGCAGGAAGTTTTACTTGAGACGTGAATTTTATTGTCACAGAAAATACTAATTAGGATGCCATCCTGAAAAGCACTTCCTCTGCTGCTTTGGGCTTGAGGCAGGTGACCAGCTGAATTTCCTGCTGCAAAGAACTTCTAAGCACAAAGTTTGTGGGCCCACCCCAGTCCTTATCTCTTGTGTCAGCTGAACTTGGAGCTGGCTAGCTCTGCTCGCAGGGAGAGAATGGATCACCTCTGCCACTCACCTTGTGGCCCTGTGGTGAAGTTGTGTCTGGAACTGGATATCCCAGACCTCCAGCAAGCCAGCTGTGGTGGTTTTCCTGATTTCCTTGGTCAGGAAAATAAATATGATCAAGTAATTCACACCCTTTTCACTTAATGACTTGTGCTATGGACAGACTAAGAGTCATTTAATCATTTAACAGAGCTGAATGTACTTACAGAGAATATTTTCCACATTTAATGTGCTGCACCAGCAATTCAGGACTTCTTCCCTCACTACAGATGCCTTAATTTAATTATTACTAATGAAAATGTTGTTGAATCACCAGTAAGTCTTTATGCTTATATTTGTGGGGCAGGTTGTGATCAGTGAGACTGATAAAAAGATGTTTGTATGAAAAACTGAGAGACTCCTGCAAATAATGAGTGTGTTTGCCAAAATGGGAGATGTCTTGGCTTATAACGGAAATGGAGTCAGCACTTTTGAGATGATAATCCCAGCAGTGGCTTTAATTCATTCATGGGAATGTATCTTGTATGTTTATATCTAGAATTAAGATTAATGAACTGAATGTGGTAATGATAGAACTACTTTGGCCTTCCAGGGTTATTGCATGGATGAATTGGTGCAGAATACACAAAAGCTTTTGATTTTGTGTTTAATTGCTGTTGTTGTTTTGTTTTTAACTGGCACTTTTAGGTGCTTTTTTTTTTGTACCTGAGATGCTGCACTACTACTTTGACAGGGCTTTAACTTAATTTTCTTGTTAACATAGAAGTACAAAGAGAAAAGCAGAAGCGCTTCATACATACTGAAATCATAGTTTTAATTAGACCTTCATAGGTGTATGCTTTTGTAGTACTAAGCTCAAAATTTATTGATGTAACTAGTCACAGAATGGGACTTAATTGCTTTTAAAAATTATTCTACAAAAAAATAGAGATGACTAGAGTCAAGGGGGTTTTTGGCTCTTCTCACTGCTGAAGATATACAACTTAAATTAGTCCTTCCTGAATATCCCTAAAAAGGTTTAACAGCTGTGTGGATGTGGCATTTGGGGACATGGATTAGTGTGGACTGGGCAGTGCAAGGAAAATGGTTGGATTTGAATATCTTGGAGAACTTTTCCAACCTAAATGATTCTGTCATCCCCTGATCCCATGCAACTGTGGGTACCAGAGAGAGGTTTTTCCAGAACGATCATTTCACTCACCCTGAACTGAGCAATCAGACACTGAAATAAATTAACCCAGCGTGTTCGCTGTTTCGGAAATATCTGTAATACAAGCCGAACGCGATAACAGGAAAAAAAATCAACCTATCCTGACTGCATTTGAAAACTTCCCAGCACCAACACCCCCTGCAGATTGCCGTGAAGCTCGTGCCCTGCACTGGCCGTGACGCTTTTTGTCCCGTTTTTTTGGGGAGATTCTTCCCTGTTTTGGGAGCGGTCGGAGGCAGCGCGGCCCGCG